GAAAACCCCTCCTTTTTTGGAAGTCGGTTAAAACGAAAGTCTTGACCGTCCTGCGATTCTATGTAATTTTTGTTTGTTTTTTACTTTCATTTCTATTCTCCTNGGCTATATATGGTATATATATTCCGACGAACTGAAAATCTCCTCCTTTTTTGGAAGTCGGTTAAAAAGAAAGTAAAAGAGTAGTCAGTCTTGACCGACCTCCGAGTCTATGTAATTTTTGTTTGTATTCTCCTACACACTTATATACCATATACATATGCATGTATATATATCCCGCCTTAAAAACTACGTTTAATCACACAATCACAAATTAAAGCTTTCAAGAACACGCTGTAAGTCCATTTGGCAAGCACGAGGCATACGCCATCATATGCGGAATTGTATTTTGATCATAAACGCTGGTGAATAAGTGGGCCCACGGACCCGAAGCGAATACGGCCACATCATCACCGCCATGCGTCTCCGAGGAGAGAGGCAGTGTTGCAGGGAATCTATCGCGAGCTTTGCCGGTGATCAAAGTTGTTGGATCCAGACGCTCATGCCGATTGACATCATAAAATGTATTGTAGCTCGGACCATTCGCGTAACTCAAAGTCATGTACGGTTTGCTGTCGGAAGCCGTGTATGACGGTGCGCCAAAAATGTCATTGCCTCGGTCCTAGTAGACGAGGCAAAAATTTATTAGAATATGTTACATAGAAAGTTCAAATTACCGAATATCCCGAGTAGCTCAACGTGTGTGAGTGATCGGCTGTCACCACAATCAGAGTGTCCTCTTCATTGGTCAACTCGCGCGCTGCTTGTATTGCCTTTGAGAACTCGACGGTTTCATCCATAGCAAGGCGCGCATAGGTGGCATGATGGCCGTGGTCAATGCGTCCACCCTCGATGAAAATAAAGTAACCCTGCTCATTGCGACTCAGGAACTCTATCGACTTGCGCGTCATCTCTTCCAAGGTTGGTTGATTGCTGAGCTCGTGAGTCTCCAAGTGGTACAGCATGTGACTGTCTTCGAAAAGTCCCAGCAAGCGATCGACTTCACTGAAATTCAAGCTATTCAATTCACTCAGAGTCTCGACGTAGGCATTTTTGCTGCTCTGTTCCTGATAGTCGACGATCAGATTGCGGCCATCGCTGCGCAATCCATTTGCATACAAATTTGAGTCCACAAACTCCCGCTTACCGCCACCCATAATCACCGAAAGCTTGCTGCCCACTTCTCCATGTATTAGTTGGTAAGCAATGTCCTCTATGTTGCTATCGGCGCCGCAGTCAGAGTCCACTTCACTGTCGTTCTCCCAGTTACGTTCAGCCACGTGTGCGTAAACGCCAGCAGGTGAGGCGTGTGTGATGCGTGTGGTGGTCACGACACCCGCCAACTTACCGGCATCTAGCGCCCATTTGGCTATGGAGTACACATGATTGGTGGCGTTGGCTGATTGCTGACAGTCGGTACGCTCTACACCAGCAACGCCAATGGTGCCGCCGAAAGCTTTAACGCCGCATAGGTATGCGGTGGCAGTGGATGCTGAGTCGGAAACAATTCTATTCACATTGAAAGTGCGCGAAAGTCCAGTGTAAGGGAACTTTTCAAAGGAGAGAAACTCTTCCTCACCGCCGAGTAAATTGCGAGCCGCAGAGTGCGTGGTGATGCCCATGCCATCGCCCAGGAACATGATCACATTTTTTGCGATATTCGTGTTGAGTGTTGTGCTGAGCTTTTCCTTGACAAACTGTTTGCCCTGGTCCAGCCAATACTCGGAGGTATCCTCGTCGGCCACTTTGGTTTGGTAAGCCACTCCGCTGCGTTTACTCGCGCCTGTGAATTCAGGATGCATGCGACTTTCCCAACAATCCTCATCGTCCTGTGCGCAGGAGGGTAGCGCTTGTACGACGGTCAGCAGTGTGCAGAAGACCGTGGCAAGAACTAAAGCGTGCCGCATATTCGACATGGTGCTCGGATTGTTAGTCAAAAAATAACTGGCGCATAAATTATCTGGAAAGTACTTAAATAGTAGATACATATTTTCTTAAATTTTTTCGATAACATTTTCACGTGAGAAACTTATGTATGGTTTGTACATTGCTTTCGACTAGTGATTGGGGTAAATGGATAACTAATATATTGTTTAAAGTACAAAACCGCGTATCGTCATTCTGCAAACCCGCGTAACTGCTGACATTTGCTGCCGAAAATTGTATTTGCTCACACAAGCTCTTGGCTCAATCCTTATCCCTTCGTCCTGAAATATACTAGCCAGGTATGCGATTGCTTTGTAAAAATAAGTACCATTTTGAAATGTGAGTGTTTTTACTCTCTTGATACGCGGTTTTGTACTTTAAACGATGATATGTACATACATAATTCGATTTGGCGATACCTAGCCCGTTTCCACAATTGCCAAATTGTTCTTAATTGCGACCTTAGCCATGTACCGAAAATGTTGTTCACGTGTTGTTCGAACGTTATCAGCCCGATAGGAGTACATACAATGTACGCTAATAAAAAGCAACAAATTACAGCACGTTTTCGGATTAAATCATATAAAGCTTAAGATGTTATCAGACACACCATAAAATATATGTATGCCCGTCTGTATGTACATTAGGGTGGTTCAAAAATGCGTTGTTCTATATCCAAAAAAATATTCCCCTGTTTTTTATTTCGAAATTCAAAAATATTTAAAGGTCGGTCAAGTCGCTCAAGCATTTCCATGTATTTGTAAAGTTTTTTATGGAAATGGTAAAGAATACTTGAAAATCTATACTTTTCGATCGGAAAGCTCTTCAGAAAACTTCCAGTAAGACACACAATTGTTCACTTTACCATTTTTTAATACTAAAGATTTTTTATGAACCTCCTTTGAATTTTTGGGGCTTTTGGGGTAAATAAAAAATTATTCATATTAAAACATGGTTAAATAAACAATTGGATATAATTACTGGAAGTCTTCTGAAGAGAAGCAAAGTATTGATTTTCAAGAGTTTTTCCCCATATAAAATAGATCGGAAACTTTGAATGACCTCTACAAATTTTTTGATTTCAAAATAAAAAGGCAGGTGTATATTTTTCAGTAGAACAATCTTAGCAGGAGAGAGCATTGATATTCCGACTTAACTTTGCTTTGTATCACCCTAATGTACATACCGACAGGTATTTAGTCGCCAATTTTCATTGGGTAATTATCGATTTTAAAGCAATTTCTTTAACTTTCTGGTACATTCAGCATTTTGTAGGTATACTACAAAGGCAAATAAACTTAAGCATACATGCTTACATACATATGTACATATACGGACACATATACATAAGTGCTTAAACACCTGTTTCATAAATCTTTATACATATATATTTATGTACACATATATGTACGTTCATAGGTACAAATGTTCAATAAATCTGAGAGAGCTTAGATTGAATTTTGCTTTACCAAAAAAAAAAAAGCTGAAGGCCAAGAGATATCTACCTTTCTCTCTTTTAAAATTAGTTCTAGAAAAAATACCTTTTATGAATGAAATAATATAGTAACTAATACCATATGCGCGTCTTTAAAGCTCATACAAATTTTATTCCAATCTCGAATTTCGAAAAATTTAGTACTACATCTGTATACAATCGTTTGGAGTTGGTGTTGTTGGAATGACCATTTCAGCTTCGGACCCAAAGGGGCGAAATTTGATCGTTCTACTTATATTTAGATATCTTTTCCTTACCGTTCATTTTATTATTCTGATTATGATAATCGCATCATTATCGTGCTTCGTTATCGTTTTTTATTGTTAGCGATATTCTTATCATAATCGTTTCCCGTTATGGCAATGGTTCATTATATTATTGTTAATGTTATCGTTGGCATTATACTTATCGTTATCGGCATTTATGGTTGTGTCGTAGCTATTGTTATGGTTAAGGTTTTGGTTATGGTTATCATTTGGTTATGGTTACCGTTACGGTATGGCTTGCTAATGGTTATGGTTATAGTTTGGTTATGGTTGTGGTTATGGATATCGTTATGGTTAAGGGTAAGGCTATGGCTATGATTATGGTTATTGTTATCGTTATAGTTATGGTTATTATCATAGTTTGGTTATGGTTGTGGTTATGCTTACTTTTATAGTTTATGGCTATGGTTATGATGAGGATTCTGCTTACGGTTATGGTAGATTTTAAGGGTGTACATGCTATTGTCGTTAGCGTCGTCGTTATCGTTACATAAGGCAGGGTGAAATTAGGTTCATTAAGCTAGTGATTCGAACCCCTTTCGCTCGCTACCTCGCGTGCAAATTCGTTTCTCAAATTCCGAGGTGCCTTAATATCTAGCATAGGCTTGGAGATGATCATTCTTATAGAGAGGGTACTAATAGCTGATTAGCGGGCTGAAGGGCTTGAAACACAGTTTGCCATTATCCCATTGAAATGTTCTATGATCAAGGTAAGAGAAGGGCTGGACATCCCGCCAAACCATATTTATTTAATTTTGGTATCAGAAAGATCATATCTTTATATTTTGGTTGCCTATATTATTAAATTAAATTTATAGTGCCCGCAAATAAAAAGCATTTCAACCGTTGTAGTCTAAAGTCGCCGACCTAAATAAACAAATGCAAAGTTTTCACGCTAGTTTTGCCTAATATTGCGTCATCGAAGAACGTGATGAATCATCACTGATAATCCAACCAGCCCAAGATCGCACGCCTCCGTTATATTCAAAAGCCAAGTATAAAAAAACCCCACCCACGTGCCCGCAAGCAGTTTTATATAGTATGTCTATGTATATGCAACCCTGGGTCTGTTTGTTTGAAGTGTATTTGTGACTATGTCTACAATCTATAGCTTTCTATTTACTAAAATCTTGCAATCGATGGATCGTTACTTTTCTGAAAACTCTTTAATTTAATAAATTTTCCCTAAATATATTTCAAATAATTTATTTATAGTAAACAAGCAAGCTCTTTTATTTCACAACAAATATTGTTCCAACCAGCCTCATCGCGGCTTAAGTACAAACGGTTAAGCCGTCGGATAAGCACGAAGCATAAGCCATAATATGCGGAATAGTGTTTTGCTCGTACGCGCCAGTAAACAGGTGCGCCCAAGGACCCACAGCGAATACAGCCACATCATCACCGCCATGCGTCTCCGTGTCAAGTGGCGCGGTAGCGGGGAATACGTCGTAGATGTCGCCTGTTACAATGGTTGTCGGATCGCGACGCACCTTATTGTCAACATCGTAGAATTTCTCATAACTCGGCCCATTTGCATAGCTGAGGGTCATCAATGGCTTGCGATCGCCGGGTGTGGCGGGTGTGCGGCCAAAGATATCGTTACCACGGTACTGAATAAGTGAAAATATGTTGGATATTTAATTAATTTTAAACAATTAAAATATGTGAGCATATACATATATTTTTCAACTCACCGGATAGCCAGAGTAGCTGAATGCATGCGAATGATCGGCTGTGACCACAATCAACGTCTCCTCCTCGTTGGTCAATTCGCGCGCGGCTTGAACGGCCTTTGAGAACTCGACGGTTTCATCCAGTGCAATGCGCGCCATATTGTCATGATGCGCCAAATCGATGCGCCCGCCTTCGATGAAAATAAAGTAGCCCTGCTCGTTGCGACTAAGGAACTCAATTGCCTTGCGCGTCATTTCCTCCAGTGTGGGCTGGCGTGAGCTCGCGTCAGTTTCTAGGTGATAAAGCAAGTGACTGTCAGCGAAAAGGCCCAGCACGCGGTCGACACTACTGAAATTTAAGCTGTTGAGTTCCGCAAGCGATTCTACGTATGCATTTTTGGCGCTTAGTTGCTGGTATTGATCAATTAGATTCTGACCATCGCTGCGTGTGCCATTCGCATAGATTTCACGATCCACAAAATGCCGCTTGCCACCGCCCATCATTAGCGACAACTTGCTGCCCACTTCGCCGTGTATTAACTGATAAGCTATATCGTTCACCTGACTGTTAGCGCCACAGGACTTCCCCACCTCAGTGTCATCTTCCCAGTCGCGATCCGCAATGTGCGCATAGACGCCTGCTGGCGAAGCGTGCGTTATCCTTGTGGTCGTCACAACACCAGCCGACTTACCGGCGTCCATGGCCCACTTGGCGATCGAGTAAACGTGCGTGGTGGTATCCAGCATTGCTTCACAATCTTCACGTTCTACCTGAGCACTCACACCAATTGTTCCCTCCATGGCCTTGACGCCGCACAAGTAGGCGGTGGCGGTGTTCGCTGAATCGGGCACAATACGATCGACGGCATAGGTCTTCGATAGACCGGTGTAAGGGAATTTTTCGAAAGAGAAGTACTTTTCCTCACCACCGAGCAGATTGCGTGCAGCCGAGTGCGTGGTGACGCCCATGCCATCGCCTAAGAACAAAATCACATTCTTGGCCTTGTTGGTGTTTAGTTTCTCAGCAAACTTGGACTTGATGAATTCTTTGCCCTGATTGCGCCAATAGTCGTTGGTGTCATCGCCATCGATTTTACGTCCAGTCACACGACCTGCGGGTGCAGAAGGCAGGTCCGGATGCATTTGGCTCTCGCGGCAGTCTTCGTCGTCCCGTGCGCAAGGCGGCAGCGCCTGCACGGCGACAAGAATACAAGCCAAAGTGGCGTAGAAGCATGTGCGCTTTGTATGGGACATCATCGTATGCAACGGTTTGAGTCAAAAGTCAACTGAAGTGAAATGGTAGAAGTTGGGTTTAGGTAATATGAAGTGGAATTTTGGTTGTGTAGTGAAAATGATAAAAATATTTATTAAGGCGCTTGAGTAGTTTTACAGTAACGATTAGATTAGCGATGCAGCGCTAAGTCTTGGTAAGATTTCTTACACTATATCGGCGTGGTTGTGGCTGATATGAAATATATTCGGTGTTCACTCTGGTAGCAAATATAAACATGCCGTTCGTTTACTGGAAAAAACGTCATAATCCAAGGTAAAAAATTTGCAAAAAAAAAAAAAATATGCATAACCATGTCTGAAAATTTTGGCTCTTAAGTAAAGACTTGGCATTTCTTTTTCTTATCTCTAACGAAAAAAAAGTATTTCTCTCAACAAAGAAAGGAGCCTAATTAAGATTTTTGCAGTTATGAAGTTCTCCAATTTAACGCCGATATGTATGTAGAAGCTTTCTGTTTATCATATAAAGTTTATTTAGTGCATGTCTGTGTGTATGTATGTATGTATATCCTTTACAAAGGCTTACTGTATCAGTATTTATAACCTCTGCTCTTTATCGCTGTTATTTATGGCGCATTTGTGACCACACAATTTTTATTTTTTTTTTGTTAATTAACTGCGATGGTTAGTTTTTATTGAATGTACATATACATATGTATGTATGTGTAAATACTTTGGTATGATTTAAATTTGATTTTTAATCGTTTGCTGAACGGTGCGGCTCGTATAAGGTTTTAGACAGGCGGCATATCTATAAAAAAAAAAAAAATAAAACGCTAATGCACATCTGGAGAACTATTTCTTTTATTTGACACAGCGCATTTATTATAATTTTTCACACAGCTGGCAACCCCCTTCGAAAAAAATACAACCTTATTCATTTGACACCCCAAATTTTTTAAAATTGTGTGAACCGTACAAATCTGATGCCACTAACAACATATCTTTCACGCAACATATTTATGTAAGTAGTAATTTTTAATTGGTGGCAATCCTACTTAATTGGTACTTAATTGTTTAGCCAACTAATGGTCTTATAATTTTTCAAAAGGTGCAAACCATACTCAAAAATTAATTTATTATTGAACATTTGGAGTCCAATGCCTTTCATTTGACATGGATTTTTGGTAACCTAACGAATAGCGTACATCTTATAACTTTTCGCACAGGTGGCAACCCTACAGAAATTTTATTATGCATTTATTAACTTAGTTAAGAACTAAAACTGTAAGAAATAATCTGTCATTAATATTTTTACTTTTTTTTCCAGAAATATGTTAGCGAATTGTCAACAGTGCGAGATTGCGCCACCGAGTGTGTTGAGAAGGGTAAGTNTTATAATTTTTCACACAGCTGGCAACCCCCTTCGAAAAAAATACAACCTTTTTCATTTGACACCCCATTTTTTTAAATTGTATGAACCGTGAAAATGTGATGCCACTAACAAAAAATCTTTCACGCAACATATTTACGTAGGTAGTAATTTTTAATTGGTGGCAAGCCTACTTAAAATAAGTTAATTGGTACTTAATTTTTTATCCAACGAATGGTCTCATAATTTTTCAAAAGATGCAAACCATACTCAAAAATTAATTTATTACTGAACAGCTGGAGCCCAATCTCTTTCATTTGACACTTAATTTTTGGTAATCCAACGAATAGCCTACATCTTATAACTTTTCGCACAGGTGGCAGCCCTATACAAGTTTTAAGCACTAAAGGGAGGCTGCCGCCGCGTTATTTGTTTGGTAGCCTTAAGTATTTACTAACTTAGTTAAGTACTAAAACTATAAGAAATAATCTGTCATTAATATTTTTACTTTTTTTCCCAGAAATATGTTAGCGAATTGTCAACAGTGCGAGATTGCGCCACCGAGTGTGTTGAGAAGGGTAAGTGCACGCTTATTTGTTTTTAATTTTTTACTATTTACTAACATAAATACATACATACATACGCGCATATGTATATGCAAACAACTTAAGTAAATCTATTGAACTTCCATTCCACTATTTTTCTTTCTCTGCATTTTCTTATTTACAGAAATCTGGGAGACGCAAACCTATTGCTGTAATACAGATGGCTGCAATGGGTCCGCCAATTTGCAAGTTTCCAAACCGCTGCTCTTATTACCGTTAATATATTGCGTGTACAAATCGTTGGTGGTTGCTTTCAGGGAGCAGCGGCACTAAGTTCGGTAACATGCGGCTGAAGCAAGCAAAACGAGTTCTTGTAATTATATAATTACTAACAAAATAATGGAAATGTAAGATAATTGAGTGCAATAAGGTTAAAAACAAATTTGAAAAATTTTAATTATTTTTCGTAAGTTTTGTAAATTTTATTTAATGCAAATTTAAATTTTTTGATGATTCTTTAATAAGCTGAATGTTTATTAATTTATACATATAATTACTTTTCAACTCGTATTATAAAATAGTTTCATTTCCAGCATTTTTTTTTTTTGATTATATTTCCTAAGCAAAAGAGAAAGTTCAATAAAATCGCAACGCTTTGCATTATTCCTCGTTCAAATTCGTACTTTTTAATAGTCTTCCCAAAAGTTTGAGTAGCAAATATATTAACAAACGAACATTTACACATGCAAGAAATGCATAAGAAAAATAGCAAAAATTTGAATATACATAAAGAAATGAAAAATATATACATACATACATACCACACAACTTATATATATATATATTACCTAAATCCGAATGTTGAAAATCTTACGATTGCGATAACAGAAAAGCATATTAGAACAAATTCTAAATATAATAATGCAAAACATATATATACATACATACTTACATATATGTAATTGTAATGTATACATATTTACATACATATATGTATGTAATTACAAGTGTATATAAAGCATTTTCAGCTAAAACATCTTCGTACTAACTAGAAAGAATTGAAAAATTTTAGCAAATAAATAACACCTTGACAAGAGATAAATAGTTGCTATTCATTTTGGAAAACGAGCAAGCAAGTAAGAACAGTTATTTGAAGCTGCTTATATATACATATGTAGATAACTTCAAACCACAACTAATAAAACAAGTACATACTTATTAGAATTATCTTTTTTTTCAACGATATTACCAACCAAAGCTCAAAGGAACCTAAAGTTCGGCTGGCTAATTAGGTAAATTTGTTAAGGTATTTACTAATATTTTCATGGAAAAAAAAAACTATACCATACAATATTTTTTTTGCATAAAGCTCTACAAATAAAAAAAATATTCAGTAAAATTTCTCGCTAAGACATATTGCGCAAGCAATCGCGTCGCCGAGTTATAAATTGGGGCTGGCTGGGGCGATTGCTTTCAGGCAATATGGAAATGTAAACTTTCCACATTTTAGTTTTTGATTTTGTTTTTTTTTTTTGAACTTGCATTTGACATTTCTCTGTACAGCCTTTTTAATACATACATGTTTACAATATGATTAATTTGTATACTAAAACACTAAACAAGAATATTCTAAAATCGCGCGCGCAATTTATAAACAAACATCGTACGAGTCCGTAAGATTTTCTAAATTCAACATCTCGCAAATATCGCATTCTATTAGATAACATGAATTCGCATAGTACACTCGAGCATTCACATTATTTACTAAATATAACTTAAGTGGATAATATAGATTTTCAGCAAAGAATAGAAAATAAAAGCAAGCAAATTGTAAGCTAAAACAAAATTGAGAAAAAAGTAATATTTTAGGCGAAAATTATGAGATTTAAATTTATAATAATATAGAATACGCAACGAACTACAACTAAATCTCTGATAAATTAGACAGTTTCCAGTTTTATGCTCTAATTATTACCAGAGCTGGCGGAGGCGGTGAGCAACCTAAAACGGCAAGGTTTTGTGAGAACCACAATTTTATCTGAGAGAATTGATACTCCACGAGGTCGTACACTAAGGTGTAACTTGCTTACTGACGACCAGCGCATATCATGTGACCAGAGCTATATAACTTCGAAATACTTATTTCAAAAATATTTTCGGTCAAATTGAGAGATGCTATAAAATTATTTCGACATCAAGCGTCTGATTGACTGATCTAATAGAAAAAAACATTTCTCATACTGAACCAAAAGCTTTCAGGTACGCGAATTTTTCGTCCTTTCTTTTCAATGTATTGCAAAACTTCTACCCTCATAGCAATAATACATATGTGTTTGATACCGAAAAGTGTTTGACTATTGGTCTGACGATTGATTAGATGAGCGAGTTGAGCAAAAACCCTAAAAAGCTACAGAATGAGGTCGATAAGGTCATGCGAAGACAAGTAGTCGCAGGGTGGATTAGTTTAACTACGGTCCTGTGCAATTCTAACGAAGACACATATACGCTATTCGAACTAGCTAAACTTAAAGGCCATGAATACTGAATACCTGGGGCGAGTTAGTTTAGAACTTTGTAGGACAACTTTAACTTAGGCGTGACTAAGAATAGCTAATTGCTTTAGAATTCTAAATGAAGTCAACCTTAAGTCTATTTAAGGTTCGATCATCCTTTGTTACCGCTAGTGACTAAAGGTCGTTTTGTGGTGAACATTGACCTCACATAACCAAGCCCGGCTTTGATCAGTCGAGCTATTATTCGTTGACAGTGGTGTTAGTTGAGTTGATTTGAGAGGTGAGGTGAAGATTTCGCAGGTGCAGTTCTTCGTCCGCTATAAGGATCTTGTTAAATGTCGACCATTGTATGCAGTGGTAGTTTTAACATTGACTTACCACCTGGGTGGAAAGTTGATTTAATTTTTGTGCAGATGTTTTTTTTTTTGTTGAGTTGCCATTTGGTAAGGTATCAAATTTCAAAGTGGCTGCGCTGACTTGTAGGTGAGCTCAAATGATAAGTGAAGTAACGGAGTAAAATGGAGGCAAGTACCTTCATTTTCTTGCTGTTAGAATATATTCAAATCTGTGACCAAGACAAGTTCTGGCATTTTTTGA